TACAAGGATCTACAGACTACCAGGAAGTGTTCATTGGAATCATCTTTCATCGCCCGTCTTTAAAGCACATGGCTTGTCCATCGTCAAAAAACAGCAGCTGGTAGGTTGGTATGCCGCCTAGCAGGCAGATAGGCCGGTGAAGACATGAGGTTTCACATAGCTATTGAACATGGCCATAGGAATAGTGAGTTTTCCCATGAAACATGGTGGATCTTTCCAGTTCGTAATGTAAAACGTTTACCAGAGGGTACTCCCAAGCATCTGACCGTTTCATGATTTTAACATTGCTCGGTGGCCATGTGACATGTGTCCCATGGTTCATCCGCGACATGGAGAGACTCGAGGGCCGAGACTTCGAGGACTGAGAGGGGGAAAAGGCCAGAAACAATGGGTGGTCGGGGCTGTTTTGTAGGTATAATATTGGGAGGAAGGGATTTCGTTTGTGACACTTTAAGATCACCGTGACATCAAATTATCAAAGGCTAAAGCATCCCAGTCTTGGAGTACTCCAAGTGTCTCCCCAATCTATACAGTATACTTGCTATTGTGGCTCACATTGTCAACCCGGCTTATGTAACTATGATCCATCTAGAATCTAGATTCTAGACAGGGGGTTGCCCAGCTTTTGAGTGACCTAAGCTGCTGAAGGGGAAATCATCCGATCAGAATGGGTCAGATCCTTATCATAGAGCCCACACCTGATTGCATGTGGGTTTGCCATGGTTTGCCCCAAATAGGATAGCCCATGGTAGCGCTAAATCCCATGGTTTCACACGCCAGGAGAAAGGAGGTGATGAGGAATTCTTCGAAGACGAGGACAGGGTGTCCATAAATGGGCCACAAAATGGATGGCTTATAATGGAAGATCCTAGTCAAATGGATAATTTGGGGGTACACCCAATTTTGGAAACCCCCTATCTGGATCATGGATTTTTGATGATGTTCACTTAGTTTGTCTACAACTCTACAACAAGTGGGATTGAAGCAGAAAAAATGATCACAAGATAAAACATAGACTTGACTTAGCCAACGAACATATAGGGCTTTCACCGGTTTGTTCTTTCCAGCGAGTTCAGATGAAATTCTTGGGATTTGACAGGAAGTTTAAGCCGTAGGTGATGAGGGGGTCCTCATTGGTCGAACCACTTCAATATATATACATATATATATATATGTACTTCAATGGTGTGATTTTTTGGTTGGTGGTTACAGAGTCTGATATATATATAATTATATGTACACATAATATGCTACATATACATATGTATGTATATATATATATATACATATTATGTTTTACTTACTACATATATTTATGTATTTGTTTATTTATGTATTCATTTATTTATTGTTTATTTATTTGTCTATTTAGTTTTTTTTGTTTTTACTACATGTATATGTATATATCCTATACAACATATAGTTTAGTATGTAATGCATTATCTAATATACACACGCACACACGCGTGATTGTGTAGACAATATACATACACACAAGCAAATGCATATATCTATGTGTATATATATATATATACTGTTAATTTAGATACACCGTGTCAACATGAATTATGTTTGTACATGTATATATTCCATCCAGAAGATGGTGTGATGATTCCAAAGCAACTCATGATTTTCAAGGAGGTGGCTCAACCACCCACCGTAATTGAACACGATGGACCGATGGACCCATAACTAGCTTTATAGTTTGGGGAAGCCATCCAATGTGTCGGCGCTTACATGTGGACTCATCAGGTTGAGCAAGAGGGACTCATCATTTCAGTTAATCTACAATGTGGGGCCCCCCTAAATAGCTAAGTTGGTGAACATAACTCCAATAACTATGGTTTATTATATTTATATATAACTATAGTTAATGGTGCTTATACACCAACTTATAACTGGGGGGGCACATTGTAGGTAGTCTATGATAGGTCACCAAGCTGTACCAAGCAATCAACAATATCAGGAAATGAATGGATATAACTGACAAATGATGGTTGAAACATGTTGAATGCTATTGTTCTAGGGGGTTGTGCTGGGGAATATACCGGGGATGATCACAATCCATGAACAGGGAATTTTGTTTTCAACCAACCAGTATCAAATCACCAGTTGATGACGGCAGGGGAACATCTGCGGTGGACCAGTTTTTTTTTCAGCAGCGATCTTTCGGGGCTGACACCTTCCGGAAAGCATGATTGTAGAACTCTGCCATGATGTGGGATCCCCAATCATGAACCATCCATACTTATGAACCATTTGTGGATTATTATCCTTGTAAATCACCAGTAGGAAGGATTTCCACTAACCGCAAGTGGATGGTTTATGGTAAGTATTCAATCGTTTTCCCACAGTGATTCCATAATCATCACAGAATATCCCACAAATCCTCCCAGCATTTTCTCCATCCAGATGGTTTCCATAATTTTCCCAACATTTTCCCACCATTTCCACAGGTTTTCCAGAATTCCCATGGTTTCGGAGTCTTCAAACGCGACTGGTTCCGTTTTTTGTGGACCAGGGACGACGACTCGGATGACCCTTTGACAAATGCCGATTCAGTGGCTTTTTCGGCGCAGGTCCTTGGGATCTTTTCAGTGTATATGATGTAGGTACCCTCTGGTTATGACTAACATAGCCATGGTTATTTAACATACCCATTTAATAGTGGTTAATAGTGGTTAATGATGGTTAATGAGATACCAAATATTTTATGTACCCTCTGGTTATGACTAACATAGCCATGGTATAGATGGCCCTAATCGAAATAGATGGTTTACCTATGAAAATAGCGTGGGTGGATCTTTCCATGGCGAACTGTTAGTCATAACCAGATGGTAACTGTTAAACATACATTGGATGGTGGCGAAATCCTACACCAAAAGGATGGTTGAAACATGTTGAAACCCTATGAATAGTGGGATGTTTACCGCCTATATCAACTGGTGCAGGATTTCGCAACCATCCACTGAATGGGAAAAACAACATCAATAAATGGGGATGGGAGCCCGTTTTCAGACAAAACCCTCATTTTGTTTGATCCTCAGCGTCGCCAGTTGATTGGGCTGCTGAAACATGCCATCAATATGGCTATGGCGTGCTTGGATGATATTTGATGATTCCAATTCGAACTGGTGCACACATACCATCATTTCAGTTGCTATGGAGATCGAAAAAATGATGGATAGTCCAGCCACATTGCTCAAGTTATTCGAATGTAAGCCCTTAAACAAAACAACACATAATGGCTATATATTTATATATATAAATATATATATATACATATATACATGGCTATAAACTCCCTAACTAGCGGGGATATATTTCAAAGCCCTAAGAAATAGCCTCCTGTAGTCAAACATTGCAGCTATAAACCTCCATGGCTAGGTCGGGGATTGCCAGCCAGCCACTGTTGACGACAAACCTTGCTGGGAATGGGACATCCCATTTCTTTCAATGAACACATACATAGAAATACATTTGCCAGAGGTCTAACATCAAGACGGGATAAGATGGGGGTGTACTTGCAGATGTATGAGACTGTGTAGTATGTTTTATGTACAGGCTACCAATGCTACCAACCATAATGGAGGGGTTTGCTGACTCTATGGCGCCGTCAACTTTTGGGCTCAAGATGACCGATCTACTACGTTCGCTCAACAACCTCATCTGAAACTTGGCAGTGGCCCCTGCCCAAGGCCCAGGGACCCCGTTGAAGGTTTGTCATATGGGGGTGGAAACCTATGGGGATACCCCCAGTCAGCTGGATGGTTTACTGGGAAAAATCATCAAAATGGATGATTTGGGAAACCTCCATATGCTTTGCCAATGTGGCAATAATTGTGTAGCTCCCATGTTGGGACAAAGTCATATGATGGGGTGTCCTACTACCAACGTTTCTTGGTGAGGTCTTTTATGTCCAAGGTGTAAGCGTCAAACATGAGGATGGCCCAAAGCCACACAAATTTAGGACATCAGCTGCCAAACTCATCAAACATGCTGATTTTTGATAGAAAAAAGTGAACATGCTGAAAATCCTTAAGCTTTGAGTTAGTTACTATATATATATATATACATACATGTATACATACATATACGGAGTCACATGAATCTCCAAGGTCATGGTAGAGTCACAAATGAGTGTCTGTTTGTAAATCTGTGTATATATATACATATACATATATATATACATATTCATGTAGATTCTGTACTGTATATGGATACAGTTGTTGACAGCTTGATCACTTTAGCCTCTTGAAGAGCTAAAAACACTGCAAAACCACAGTAAACAAAAATGATATGTTACAATGATCAGCCACTTGAGATCACATCAACTTCCGCAAAAACCTCCAGCCTTTTAGATATGCTAACATATGAGACCCGGGGACGGATCCATGTTGGTGAAAAGGCCGGCCTTTTTTGGTTAGACATACCCCATTTTGAGACAAAGCGTCATCGTCCGAGGAGAACGTACTATTACCCCTGTCGTCACCTGGTTGCAACAAGTGGTACACTGCCAGTCAGGCTGTCGGCTGTCCATTCCTGTGGGTCGTTGAGTCGTGGTTTGGCTGCACGATCTGAACAGCCTTTGCGGTGCCCTCCAGTCCACTGTAGGAATGAAGAAATTAATGAACAACAATAAATATGAATAGTTCAGAAAGCACTAAATATTAATTTTCATAGCACTTATTTAGTTCATCAAATATTATTTTTCAGAAAGCACTGTTCAGAAAGCACTTTGTAAATGATTTTCCTATCAGGATTTCCCGGATTTCCCGGATTTCCATGTTTTTTTTTACCAAAGACCGAAAAAATGTGCAGTCCCAATTTTTGGTGGTTGGATCCCTATTTTTGAATATATAGCTATACTGGCTATACTATATATATATATTATTTTTTTTCACATGTTTGCTTCAATTTTGATGTAGTTTCCACTGCCAGGAATGTTCTTGGGTTGATTTCAATCCCGACACAAGGTCCGCAGAGGTTCTGCCAGTACAATGCAGGCTCTATTCATGCGCCCTGGGCGAATGGATGACCCTAGAATCAAATTGGGGCATTAGGCAACAAACACTATGGGGGTATTAACCATTATGGGGGTATTGTTTGGGGATATTAACCATAATTATTGGTGGTACTAACAAACAGGGTATTCACATTAACCATTTTTTATGGGGTGTATTATCCATTGTGCAATATTAATTTAATTATTATTAATTACTTATTATCCATAATTATCAATATAAGTGTTTGATGGATAGACAACCATTATTTATGGGGGTCTCAACCAGCAATAACGATGATAGTTTTTAGTGGGTATATCATCTGGGCAATAGCGACCTCACAACACAAAAATTAGGTTTAGGAGAGGGAATCATCCCAAAAGGTACTTATATATATATATTTTTTTTTCAGGATTGTGAGATAATGATTATATATATAATATGTATAATATATAGTATCAACCAAGTCTGTTCAGTTTCAAGATGTAGAGATCATCTCAGGATCTTGAGTAGGTATGATTAAGTGTGTTTTTCCATCTCTGAAAAGGTTCCTTCTTCACTCCCTGTTCCAACCATGTCAGCGGCTGGATGTCCTTTGGACCAGTGGAATTTGTGGGACACGTCGTGATGACTGTCAGCCAAGTCATGAATGCGGCTGGAATGCGGCTGGATTTTTCACGCCAAAACAAAGACATACAGTAATTCTTGCGTACCCATTCGTATCCAAACACTTTGCTATGGAAAAAAACATCATCTTGAGTAGCTAAAGCATCAATCATCGTCGGACCATGTTCCATAGCAAACTGGCGGCTGCGTATTTATCACCAGAGGAATTTGACCAGTCGAGCCTCCAAAAAGTGATCTTTTACAGCCTCCAAAGCAACGGTAAGGGGATAACAACCACTGGGGAACATGTGGATTTACTGTACATGACTTTACAATCACAAATTGGGATATGACCGCAGCAATACCACAACATACTGAGATTTTGATCATCTGCATCCAGTGGTACAAGGACTAAATGATATTTCTGCATATTTCTGTTACATTCCCCTAGGTTTTGATATGCCTGGCTGCACTGGCAAAAATGGTCGTGCGCAGCAGTGCGAGCAACCCAATGCCATAAACCTACCATTTGGGGATGGTTTATACCATAAATCAATGATGATTTTGGGGATGGTTTATGGCGTTGGGTACCATAAATTAGACCTTGGTGGTAGTTCAATGGTTTCATCTAGACGCTGGAGTACACAACCACCTGACCGACTTGATATTGCCCAAAAAGTTCGGGAACGCGGGAGGATTTAGCAATCCTACCTTGACATTAAAAACATTCAATTTACAGGGTATTCAAGATTTGCCATGGATTCATATTGGTTGATGGAGTATCTGAAAATCCTTCCCCAAATTATGCAATGTTTGACTCTAATTACTGTAGTCGCAACTCTTGTGGAAGGGATGAAGGGGACATTCCCCTGCTTTTAGTCGGGAGACTTATTTTCCAGTCGGGGCTGATGATCCATTTCCTTGATTTCATTTCTGGTCGTTGGGACAGCAGTTGAGGTGTTTGGCTCTGCCATTGATTGAAGCAAGTTCAGAGAGCTCCTTGGTGGTTGTGCACCCGTGGGTGGGGGGTTTTGTTGTGATTTCAGCTGAGAGCTGGAGCCGCTCAACAATGATCAACCTCTCAGCAGTTGCATTGTTACATTAGCAATCCCAATCAATCTCACAATCGGAAACTTGTGGCCCAAAATTCTGGTTGTTTTTTTTTCTCTGGTGGCTACCTGGGGCCACAGCAGCCAAGAAAAAATGGCCCCAACAGCCCCAGGTTTTCACCGTGGGGGCGCTCTTCGAGCAACCGTGGAAAGCGCCACCTTCAATGCCGAGCTGCAGCCACTGGGCGGATGAATGCGGCTGTATGTTGGGAGAATTCGAAGTAGCAACCCCAGTTGCAACCCCAAAAAGATAGAATAGTAATGAACAGTAAATCCTACTGAAATAGTGGTGAATTGCAAAACACTTTTTGGGGATTTGTTGTAAAGATTACAATCTTATGAAGAACTCAGGAACTGAGACACTGAGGCTGTGGAGTTTATCAAATGACTGCGTGACTTTAGGAAACTTTTGGGACTGCAACTAGCAAAGCAGGATACTAATATATTATAACCAAATATTTTGCATGTTTATAACCATATATATATAACCATATATTATAACCACATATTTTACAAAATTTTATAATCATATATATAACCGGAAATTATAACCATATATTATAACCATATATATATATATTATAATATATCTGTGAACCATAGCTGGATGACTCTGGTTGGTTGCAATGAACGTCACGTCTGTTCCTTTTTCACCTGGAAGGTGATGCTCCAGGTATCCCCAGGTTGGAAGGTTCAAGGTGCTTCTCTAAAATCTAAAATGTTTATATAATGTAGACCAAAGAAACCATCAAAATGTTGTTCACACAGCAATTCATTTGAGGTCCCTAAGTTTAAGAAACACCCATTCAAAGGCGTACAATGTACATCTGTAAATTCACTTTGCTTTGACGCAAAAGTATGAAGAGAGCTTGAGAAGGCTGTCACTTTCTAGTCGTATGATCGAGATGCCTGGGGATTTTTTTACGAGCCAAACTGAGAAATGCAGGTCCACCAAGGTGCAACAGTAGTCCATCAACCCAGGGCTAAACTGAGTCAATGTTAGACCTTCAGGTGCACTGAAGCCAAGCAGCAAAGTTATGATATGTACATAGCCAATCTAGCCATGAACAGGCTTGGAACTGCAGGAAAGTGATGCGCCAAGGGATTGCAAGCTCTTACATAGAGCTGAACTTTTCGTGATTGATCCATTAGGTGCATGAAAAACATTGTGGCCATATGTTGTTGGGGTTGAATCGTCACTTTGATTGGTTCAATCCCAAAATTTGGTTGAAAAATCCTCATTTCTGATGCACCCCATCAATATCCCTATGTCAACGGTGGTTAAAAGTGCCCACGTTTCACACCCTGCTGTTTCTGCGTTGTGTCGTCATCTCAGGGAGGCCATGAGCGAAGCGCTCGGCTGCGGCGGGGAAGTGTCGGAAAAGCATTTGAAGACTTTGGAGGAGCACCGGCAGCGGTGTTTTTGCAGGTGAAGCCGGCTCGAAAATCCCGACTTCAGTTTGAATGCAGAGATCGGGGATTCACCAAACGGGCGATTTTGCCTGATTTTTGGTGATTTTTGACAATACTCTGTGAATTGCCAGTAGACTTGGAGGACAATAATTATCCAATCTGCTGTCAGGGTCGATGTGGGTGGGTGGTTTTGATGCTCGAATTGTTGACCATTTTGATGGGATATGACATATATGTATATGTATAGGTCAAAAGGCACGATTTAGATCATGGCAGGCATGTCCATGGACGTACCATGGCGTTCCATAGATATCCTGTAATCCCTTATAATATGGGCACACCCAGGTGAAGAGTAGGCTAATTAGCGGTTATGTTTGATGTTTATTTGCCAGTTGGGTGGGGATATATCACTAAACCTGCTGAACATATCACATGGGTATGGGTCAAATGAGTTATACTGTATGGCTCAAGTTTCGTCAATTACTAGATACATGTCCCCAAATCCCACAAGTTGATTTGATTGATGAAGAACGCATGTTTCACGACCATTCTGGGGAATTGATGGTGCAAATTGTGACATATATATATATATATACATATGTGTTTATTGATTTAAAGGAAGCAGTCTATGCTCCTCAACCAGACACATTGAATCATGCACCAGGGGTATTGGTCAAAATATGTCAAAATGCAAGATATAGATGTGTAACCCCCTTGGATATACCATGATATACAATTTCGTCACTTCCCCTTCGGAAATTTTACAATTTGCTTTGAAAAATCAACATCAATCAAGAACATCTTAAGAATATGTATATATATATATATATATTCATACATATATATATATATACTGATCATCTATGAACGGGCCATGTTCATTCATTTTCCATCGCAAACTATTGAATTCCAGGTTTTGACCGGAGAAACTCATAGCAACAGTAGGAGTTGGTAGAGATGATCCATGAATGCCTGGGGATTTTAACCCGATGTGATCACCCGCTTGGGAGACCAGGGGTCATCAAACCGCTTGGGAGCTGGGAAATCCTCAGGATGAAATGAGCTCCGTCTATGCCACGCTCCCCAAAAACAGCCACTCGCAGCAGTCGGATTGATCAAAGATGATGACAGCAACAAGTTGGTTGGATATTGATCAAATCACCACCTAGCAAAGCGACCCGAAAGGAAAACGGTCGCCCCTTGGAAAGCTTTGGGCTTCAGAATGCTTCAGATCATCAAAGATCTCAGCGGATCTCACCTGGTGAAAGGGTGACCGTCGGGGACCGTGGTCCATCTGAAGAAATGACCAGGATAGGTCAGTCAGTCATGGATCAAGCACTTTGCGGCTTTGCACTTTGTGCTTTTCACATGTGAAAACACATGAGGCATTGTACAAGTATGTAAAAATACTTCTATCCCATCTCATTATAGTTGGTTGACAGGTTTCCCTGGGTCTAATCCCGAATTAGGTAGTAGAAGTCCCTAAAACCAATCAACCAGGGTCTTTTTAATGGCTCACATGTTCACCAAAACAGTTTGTAGTTCTACCGTGATTATACTGTAGATTACCGTAGTATGTTGTTGTCCATCCCACCAAATCATGGTGCCATAAGTTTTGACAGCAGTCCTGACCGCCAAGTCACAACCTTTCCGGAGCCTTTGATCCAGGTCGGCTCGCCTGGTGAATTGGCCATCTTCATATTTCTTATTCAATCTATGGTGCATTTCACAACATCGCGGACTCTTGAGAAACACAACAATACCTGGCATATATGGATAGGTTATGATACCCTCTGGTAAAATAACATAACTATGGAAAATCACCATTTTTAATAGGTAAACCATCCATAAATGGGCCATTTTCCATGGCTATGTTAAATTACCAGAGGGTAGGTTGATGTTTCCCCGTGGCTGAGGTTTGGGGCGCATCGATCGCCGCTCTCTTCGCTTCTTGGCTTACAGGTATTTCAACGAGAAGTGTCTTGGCACGGTCTGGTGCGCAGGGACCTGGTGCAGATTTCAGGACAAGGTTCTGGATCACAAAGACATCATATCATGACTTTGTACAAGTATGTATTATTCTATACTGTATATTAGTATATAGCATTATATAGCTATATATATATATATATATATTCCCCGAATATGATCATCTCCCATGATCTCGCCCATATCTGGGCGAAATGCCATGATCTCCCATGATTAAAGCCCTATGTTTGCCAGTTAATAACCATATTAAACCATATTAAAACATACCTAACATAACTATGGAAAATCACAATTTTTAATGGGTAAATCAACTATAACCCCTGTGACCCTGTGTTTGATGGATAAATCAACGGTTTTAATCCAGCTGATGATCTCTAAGCCACCTCGAGGCATTCTTTGTCGATTCGTGGCTTCGAACCCTCGCGGGTTTCCAACGAGTCCTCCTGGGCCGCTGCGGAGATTCTGAGTCAACAAGTTCCAAGCTATGCGCCCCGGCGCGGACCCGGTGGTGCCCCTCAGTGAAATGTGTGTTGAATAATGTTCATGCATCCAACTCTGTAATAATATATGTATATAGTATTATATATATAGTATTATATAATATATATATAGTAATATATATATAGTATAATATAAATATATATATATATATAGTATGATATATATATAGTATAATATATATAGTGTAATATATATATATATAGTATATATAGTATAATATATACACACACTATAATATATATAGTGCATATTGTACAATATATATAAATAGTATACTATATATATAGTATAATATATATATATATACACTATAAAATATATATATAGTATATATAGTATAATATATATATACACTCTAATATATATAGTATATATAGTCTATTAATATATATACTTTAATTTTTATATATAGTATAATATATATATAGTATAATATACATATAGTTTAATATGTGTATATATATATAGTATGATATATATATATAGTATAATATATATATATGTAAAGTATAATATATATATATAGTGTAATATATATATGTAGTAGAATACCTATATATATATATAGAGTAGAATATATATATATATGTATACAGTATAATATATATATAGTATAGTATATATAGTAATATGTATATATATAGTATAGTATATATAGTAATATATATATATAGGAATTTATATAGTATAAAAAAAATATATAGATAAAGTATAATATATCCCCCGTGAATCAAAATACGGTGCGCCCCGGTGGTGAGGGTGCAAGGCTTGAGAATCTCAAGCCAGGATCGATAACCGTTAACCTCTTGGGCTGTTTGTGGGGGAACCCCTTTAGTATCACATTTAGCACTGTATTTGGGGGAAATCTTGGAAGGAATTAACCTCAGGGTTGATTAATCCGGGACCGACACTATACTTAAAAGACCTGTGGTAAAGAATATAGTAGGTTTTTTATATCATCTATCAATGGCCATGTTCATCCATAGCATCCATAGCAGACTATTGGTTTACCCGAAGGGTTGATGGTGAAAAAAATGGTAAACATCATCATTTTCCAATGTGGGGCCCCCCAGTGATGTGAACGTTGGTCGTTTAAAACCCCTTCTGAATACTAGTTCGTTATTTGCGTATAATAAACCATAGTGAAATATAGTGAAATTGGAGTTATGTGAACCCCAACTGAACGCGATTTCGTAAACGGGGGCCCCTCATTGTAGGTCAAAATGGACATCATTCATTTGAATAGGATTTTCCGATTTTCCATTATACACCATCCACTAAAATGGGTACCCCCATTTTAAGAACCCCCCCCCATATGGTTTATAATCATTAACTATAGATGAGTATAATAAACCATATAGTGAAATTGGAGTTATAAATCATATGTTCCACAGGTCATTTGATATTTTGATGGTGTTTCATCATTTTCCATAGGTCATTTGATGGTGTTTCATCATTTTCCATAGGTCATTGATGTTTCATCATTTTCCATAGGTCATTTGATGGTGTTTCATCATTTTCCATAGGTCATTTGATGGTGTTTCATCATTTTCCATAGGTCATTTGATGGTGTTTCATCATTTTCCATAGGTCATTTGATGGTGTTTCATCATTTTCCATAGGTCATTTGATGGTTTTTCATCATTTCCCATAGGTATTTTCATGGTGTTTCATCATTTCCCATAGGTCATTTGATGGTGTTTCATCATTTTCCATAGGTCATTTGATGGTGTTTCATCATTTTTCCACAGGTCATTTGATTGTGTTTCATCATTTTCGATAGGTCATTTGATGGTGGTTCATGATTTTCCATTGGTCATTTGATGGTGTTTCATCATTTCCATAGGTCATTTGATGGTGTTTCATCATTTTCCATAGGTCATTTGATGGTGTTTCATCATTTTCCATAGGTCATTTGATGGTGTTTCATCATTTTCCATAGGTCATTTGATGGAAAACCCCGTGACTTGACTTATCTCAGGTTGAGTCTGTCCTCATGTCTCGCCATGTAGACACTCGCGGATTCGACCTACGCGACACGGCGCTGGTGTGCCACGGTGGAACATTCATAGATTGATATAGATTGTACCCCCAAAAAGGGGGATTTATAGTAACTATATGTAACTATACCATGATAAAAATAGGGATTTATCATATGATTTACCATGACTTACTATGATTTATCTACAAAAACAACAGAACAAACATGGTATGTTGGAAAAAAAACAAGCTGCGCACACCCAAAAACAGAAGCCGACTGTCTTGCTACCCTTGAAATCGTTTCTGCTTGGTAAATCATGTCAGTTTTATTGTGAATTTCACTAGATTGCCCTTACCTACACAGGGTTTTTGCACCCTGACTTCGCGCAGTTTTCTCGGTACATATGACTAAGCATCTGACCTTTTTGGGCCCCATAAATCCCCATAAAACCCGTAGCTGTTTGTTGGATCACATATGATCAATTCCAAACATGTTGGTTGGTGATACATCATGTTGTCCCAATCTTCAGAGGTATATTGACAGGTTGACACATTCGAAGGCAGACAACCAATGATAAGGATAAACATCAAGGTTCACCTCGGCTCACCTAACGCTTAGATAATTGATTAATGGTTTCCTCAATGCTGATTCAACAAACATTTGCTTATAGTTATAATTAAGGTTTTCCCCAGTGATGTTTAAACATTATTGATCATTGGACATTGGATTGATTCATTTGCCAGAATTAAAACCAGCGATTTCGAGGATCACTACCATCGAGCAGTTGCTCTTTGATACCGAAAGCAATCTGCTGGAGAAGGTCTACCAGGCGAAGGGAGGTCGGGTAGTTTAAATTCACCAAAACGACTCCAACAGGAACACCATAGTGTTGTCCCATTTCACGGCATGTTGTACTTGGATGTACTTGGATGTCCAAATGTTGCGTGGAAACCTGTTCATTGTCAGGAAACCTTGGAACCCCCAGAGTCTGGATGAAATTCCTGGTGGAAACTCCGTGAGGAGAAGCGAAAGTCTCAGGAGTCTTTGAGGAGAGAAGACCTACAAGACTTGTTGGAGGCCGTTGATTGAAATCAAGAAACGGACCAAAAAAAAGGCCGTGTACCACAGAAAGCACGCCAAAGATATGGGACTCGGTCATTGCATGGAAAACTGCATGGAAAACTGCTGAATGATGATGGGAAACTCGAGGCTTGGGCTAAAGTGCTACAGATTCTTAAATGTTTCTCAACATCCCAGACAGCGTTATGCCCAGTTTTTTAGGCTGCCAAACATCCAGCAAGCTGCAGGCCTACTTGGTGCATTGGCTTATGGGCAATGACGAGGAGAGCCGAGCCCGAGGTTTTCAGAGACCGCGTGATTCTTATGAGCCAAGCGAGCAGTCAAAAGAAACAGTAACAACTTGGGTATGGATCAATACCTATTAATACCATTTTTAGTGGGATGAACATCCATTTACCAGCTATTTTGATGTTCACCAGGGGTACAAGGTTTTGACCCACTGCCACTTAAGTGCGTGGTATTTTTCTTCATGGCCTTATGGATTGTCCAGATGTCGAACCAACCCAACCATTGAAATGAACAGCAGTTGATGCCTAGAACTGGTGAGTCTTTTGCCAGCGCAAAGCTTGGGTGATGGAAGTGTTTCAAACTATTTCAATTGTAGGTCGTTTGTATGATAGTCTTCCCTAAGTGGCATATTCCATATATCTCCTTTATATATTATATACATATGTATATGGGTTTTATAGCTATGGTTACTAATCACTTACTAAGTGGGATGATTCTCCGAGTAGTCCTATCACTCCCCCCTCTCTGGCCAGTAAATGTTCCAATCCAGTGATTCATGCAGGTTGTGGTGGTGGTTCCAGGAGAGTGAAACACCTGGCCCAAGAGTCAATCACACGCGAATCTTTTTTCTTAGTTTCTCCATGTTTCTCCTAACAAGAAACACTGTAACACCAAAAAAATGCATTACGAATTTGAAGGATGTGTAATGATGTGTATATATATATAGTATAATGTTATATATATATACATATATAATTATATATATAATTATATATATACATATTTGAAGGATGTAATAATTATATATATATATACATTAGATCAACCTTGTTGTTCCTTTTGTCGCCTTTGTTGGCAAATCCCATGGATCCGCAGCCCTTTTTAGGAGGGCATCCGTCTTCTATTGGGCAACGCTCGGCTGCGGCAGCGAACCTTTCCACACTGGGAGCCTTGCGAAAAGGTGAAGAACGGACAGAAGTTACCATCCCCCAAGCCTCTGGTTATTGAACATATGGGTCTGGGTCAAAATTGGGTACCCCAAAAAAGTAGGTGGTTAATAAATATTAAACAGAAACTAAACTATGTGGTTCCATGGGGCGTAAATTTGACCTACACCCATATCTATCTGGGTAAATTTTAACGTCACTGTTCTCCCGAAGCCTGGAATCATGATAAGGGAAATCATGCGCATCGGTGGCCTTATTTCAGGTTAGTGAATTATTACAATTTGCCCAGATCTATGGTAGTATAGATGGTCCATTTATTTGTGATGATTTAGCTATTAAACATGGTGATTTTCCATAGCTACGCTAAATAACCAGTGGGGTATATAACATAGACCCTGCCAAATAGGAGGTTGGAAGACTAGTTTCCTCTAAAAAGTAGTGATTCTCCGGGTCTATGTTGCTTGGGGGCATGGTAACCTGGTACATCGGAAGTACCATTCACTCAGCAAAAAACATGATTTACATTACAGTAAAGTCCATTAAATCCCATGAACCATCTATAAATCATGGGCGATTTTCCATCTCTGAATGGGCTATTTTTGGTCGCCATGTTTCATGACACCGGAGGTTCACCTTTTCATGGTCGTGTTGCCCCCAAGGATCAGTTGGTTCACTTTGCCCATGGTGAGATTCAGGCAGGGCGCAGCCTGTTACGAAAGATTTGAAGAAGAAATGATGGTGCTATGAGGATGGAAAATGATAAACATATTATATTATAAACAAATATATGTCTTACATATAATATATATATATATTAGAACATCTTTGAAATATTACAAACTCTCCGTGCCTCGAAATGGGATGATCCCCAGAATAGACTGGCGCCTGAAATCAGGTCTGTCCATCCCTTTCAGTGGATACATAGTATACGTCGTATCCTCCATCCATGGGCAAAGTTGTTCATGACGCCCATGCTTGGTAGGGGGAAGAACCTCAAAATGGATTGTTTCAGAGTTGCAATATATATATATACATATATATATATTATTATATATATACATATATATATATATTATATTCATTATATATAGAGTTTCTCCCAATTTGCCGAGATTTATGAGCAATGTCAGCCCCATAGTAAGAGCATGGCTGATGAATTAGGGGACTTCCAAAGCTGTTCTCGTGAAAAATAGAAGCCTTTCAATTGAACCAACTACAAGGTTATTATTCCAAGGTTAAGATTGTCCTGTTTTTTGGGTCCTCCAATTCCTAGATGTCCAAAGGGGGCTCCTTTTTGTGAGGCGTTGGATTTCAAGCGCCGACACCGACCGGGAACAGGCGATTTGGAGTTGGCTTTGGGATGCCTAAAGGGCAAGCCTAGGTTGATCCTTAAAACTTGAAATGAGGGAAGATGATATCCAGACAAACATCATCATGTCTGGGTATCTAAGGTTGGCCACGGAAGGTCCTGTGCGTTGGATAAGTTATAACTAGCCCTCACACAGCGACATATGATTTTTGAACTTAAACTTATATTTTGATTATTTTTGATCTGTAATGACATTTCATAGGTTTGTCTCAAAAAAATACGATACATCCACTCAAATAGCAGTTTCTAGTGTGGCAACATAGCCACAATCCATTGGACTTGGTGTGTCCAGGCTCACTGCAGACAGAGTACAGTTTCGATGATGCGCATGAAGCACCATAGCGGCAATCAGTGGGGCTAGGTGACCTGTCAGGTGGATCATGGTGGATCGATTGGTGGGTTTTATATTTGGGGAACATTGGAACATCTTGTTGAATGATAATTGCAATGACATATGACATACCATAAATATCCAAAGATTGCAAGACACTGGATTCACTAGAGGTTTAAATCCTTGCTGAATTTGGACCAAGATAGTGCGGATCCATGATGCTGAGTATACAATAAAAGCCTGCTCTCAGAATTACCACCTATCAGTAATTAAACCGGCAAGCTGGTTCATTCTGTTTGTATATCTGGATACTGCGCCTATTATACATATTATACATGCATACATACTAATTTCTGGGTTAGACATTATCAATGACATAAGGCCTATCATGACTGCCTCACACAGCTTTATCATCTGGATCCATCCGGAGTGTGTGTTTTTTTTCTGCGAAGGCGAGTGCCCCAAATCTGTCTATTTGTCTCAAGTGCAGTCATTCTTGTGATTTGTTTCAGCTGGGAGAAACTGCCAACCAGATGAGACTGGTGCCATGCCAGTTGTCATCAATTTGACACGCGCATGTCCCATGTGAGAATAAAGCACTCAAGTATTTATTTGCTTGTTTTCAAGATCTACGTAGGGGATATACCCACTTCTACAGTACTTCTTCATCATTATCCAAGTACACATCCAAGATCATGCAAAGATATATCTGGATTATTATTATTATTATTTTTATTATTATTATTATTATATATATATATACACATATTGGAGGCTTTCCAATTTATGGGGGTACCCCATTATCGCTGGATGGTGATCTTTCCAATCCCCATCTTTCCGTTCTGCTCTCTGACCGAGGTCATCGGTGGAATCACCCGAAACTTCGCATCCTTTTGGGAGTCGGAATGTACTGAGATGAAGGACGCCCGGCGGTGATTTCACGGCAGGTTTTAAAGGATGTAGATACAGTAGTCACAATTGGTAGGGTAACAAAAACATAAAGATGGATATGACATGTTATGATTTAATCTATGATACCAAGATAGAGAACAGAAGAGATGTATGATTTAGTTTTATGTCTATATAGATGTGCAAAAACATAACAGAGGATCGGTGTAGCAATGACAGTAGGAATATACGCACGTGGAGATTTCAGACTGATCATGGGGACGGAAAAGTAGCGACAAAGGGATCAACTACTAGCTGACGAAGCCCGGGTGCTTTGAAAAGGGGACTTTCAGAAATGGGACTTTGGAATAGCCAGATCCATTCAGTCCTTAAGTCAGTACATGTTTTCTACATACAGACCGCAAATTCATCAGTTGGTTGGAGCTTGAGTGTCCAGAATTCATTGTCCATATGATGTGAGCCCCCCGCAGTTATAAGTTGGTTTATTTATAAACCCCATTAACTATAGTTATAAGTATAACAAACTATAGTTATCGGAGTTATAAACCAACTTAGCTATCTGAGGGTCCCCACATTGTATGATGCTTGTTTTCACCCCAATGTTGAATTTAATTTATATCCTCAGGTCGTTGGCTTTATCAAGCGACGTGAAATTTTGACGCTTGGGATGGGCTCAGTGCTTGGTTGCAATCTCCACGTACGAAAGAGTACAGTACTACAGCCCCAAATCAGAAAAGTCAAACAGCTGGAGGTTATGATCGAGGTTACCCTCTGGTAAACTAACATAACTATGGAAAATCACAATTTTTAATGGGAAAATCCACTATAAATGGTCATTTTCAATAGCTATGTTAAATTACCAGAGGGTAAATTTATCAACCGTATGGTTGAAATTATCTATGCATGCCCCGTGGCGGGTTTTTCGCTGCCATTTGATGACCGCAGGAGCAGTTGATCGCGATGGATCCATCTCGTACAGGTTCGCAGGGCCGGTGCAAAAGATCATGTCAACCATGTCAACCCCTCATTCTTTTGGATCAGGAGTTCGGCATTAGAATGCATCAATCCAGATGAACATATGGGTATGGGTCAATACCTATAGATACATTTTTAGTGGGATGAACATCCATTTACCAGCTATTTTGGGGTTCACTAGGTACCAGGGTTTTGACCCATCCCCATATGAAGTATGATGTCAACCACACATCAATTTGAAGCCCTCGTGTCATTGGGTTTAAGTTTATAGAGATGTATCACTTCTTGGCATCCTAAATTGACCAGCATTGATAAATCCGGTGTTGCATTCTACAAACATATTTAGTGCAACATATTGTGCATTTCTTGTGATGTATTCTCTGTATATTGTGTTCATGGTGTTTGACTTCATTATACTTTTCTGTGACCTAAAATGTGTATGTACTTTGTACCTAATACAGAGATTACCATAACAAACCCTATTTTTGGAGGACATATCAATCGGCTTCAAATGCGTGGTTCAATAGTTTGTGAGAGTTCATTTGAACCCTCTTACATATTGTCCCATATTATCCCCAATGAAATATCCCCAATATTACAAGGCTTGGAGAGGTTTTAGTGCCACTGCTCACTCCCCATATTGTAGCCCATATTGTTGGCTATATCCCATCTGGTTGGTGGTTTGGAACATTATCTAGCTTCCGGTTGTAAGGGAGCCAAGGAGCTATGGGTATCTCAATCCCCAAGCAAATGGTAGATTTGGGTTTATGACATTGGCCTTTCCTAGTGTGATGGGCTTTGTCTTGCTGTCTATGTCTGCGTCCGATGTGACCCGCACCACATGATTCATTTGATTCTGCCGACCAACGTGCGTTCGCCCCAAATCCAGGTGTCCACAGTCTGAATTTCAGATTCAGTTCTTATTGCAAGCATTGAAAAGCATGAGTAAACATTCATAAGCACCGGTTTTCATTAGTAAGCACTGACAAGGATTGGTTACCGTAAGCCTGGTGATCAACTAGTGTCAGTCGCTTGATGGCTTTCGCATGGGTCGGCTTGGTGGCGCTGAAGGGCCGGACGTCTGTGGTGACATAAAAATCAACACCCAACCAGCAGGGACCAGTTGGATTCAATCGGTCTCGGTTTCGGGCCGCTTAAGTCATGATAGATTTTGATGGATTTTGAATGATTTTGGTTTATTGAATATACATGATGCTTAGATCTTGTTGAAATTCAGTTTGTCGTTTTTTTTTCGGATCGTCTCATCTTTTGAGCTTCAGCCAGCCAGTGCGTATAGTGTGGATGCGTCTTTCCGGTTGGCATCGTGATTTGCCAGCTCCTGGGTGCCTGGGCAAGCCCATTGCTGATTTGCAGCAGCTGCCCTAATGTGGCAGCAGAGCGGCACCTCTTTGGCTCCGACCACTTCACTTTCGCAGCCAACCACTCTGAGACATGAGTGTTCTGCACCTTCTCGGTCAAATTTTGTCCCTGGCGCTCTAAAGTAACTATGGAAACAACTCCCACACTGGCAGCAGCCGGGTTGCACCTTTTGCTCGTCGATGCTTGGGCCACGGTTGTGGCGTTCGGATGGCTGAAAGGAAAATCTGTACATGTAAAATAGAAATGACTGCATGAAACTGCGTTTCGTTGTTTCACGTTTTGCAATGCCTTGTCTCACGTTTCCATGCCACTGCTATGCCATGCTAGGACTCCATGTTTCTTCACATGTTTTCACACCTGTCTTAGTTTTGGCATGAAACGTGAACTGCATTGAAATCATGCTACCGGACATGGCTGATCTCAAATCAGCGGTGTCCATGTGTTTCGTTAAACCGTCCGCTAGCATTGTTTTCGTATCGCACCACTTCACTTTGGTAGTGGAGCCTTCAGGCACGTTTTCACTCATCATCGGATCTCCATATTCTTCACCAACATCACGCCAAATGATCTGTCGCAGGCCACACAGATCGATGGCAAGACGCTTGTCTTGCACTTCACCACCAGAGCATTGGACAAGGTGATCTCGGAGAGATCTGCAATCGGTCACCGCATGGACTGTTATGGCGTCCTTGGACTCAGTCTGCCATGAGGTAGTTCTTGGGTCATGCGGCGTTTTCAAACCATGCAAAACCATTCTCAAATGCTCTGCATCTTCATAACCTGCAAGCATGCTCAAAGACTCGGCTTGCAGCGTGGAGCGGCAAACACGTCGGATCACCTGGCTTTTCCACTCAAGCAAATGGATATGGCCAGTTCCAGAGCGCATCACTTCCGGGCCACCAACTGCAAGAACACGGCCTGACTGAGACCGAAATCCCATCTTCATTCCAGAAGCTGACAAATCATAGTCGGCAGCATGGCTGGCATCGGTGATCGAGATGATCTCCATGCTGTCAAAGTCAAACTGTTTCCAACCATAAACCAACTTCTGATCTTTCGTCATCTGGGCTCGGCGAAGCAGGCTGTTGGCATCGACCAAATCTTGGACAATCGGTCGTTGCACGCAAGTCTGGAGTCTGTTGGTGTCATAGGCCAAATCGGGGCGACACACTCGCACAATCCAGTTGAGGGAGCCAAGGACACTGCGCAACTGTCCTTGTTCTTCTGGAGTCGCTTGAGCTGTGCGGTCACGTTTTCGGCCAGTGCTAAGCATGATCGGCCGAGTCTTTTCAAGTCCATGGGGGCATTGAACAACAATTCCTTCATCAGTCTGCGAAATTGTTCTGCCGCAGTACTTGAAGGACGTATCTTCAACTTTGCCAAACTTGAGTTGTTCTTGCACCACTTTCATCGCATCTTGGGTCTTCTGACCACCACACCAAAGCAAATCATTTACATGACAAATGCAAAGTCCATCAATCTCACCATTCGGCCCATTCATGACGTAGGCCGCTTGCTCATGAGGCACAGGTCGAAATCCAGCCTTCAGCATTGTTTTGTGCAATGATCTCCAAAAACCTCTGGGAGCATCTTTGGTGCCATAGACAGGCTTCTTGGCAACCAGCAAACTTCCAGCAGGAATCCCAGGTACACCATCCTTGGGCAAGGCCATGATCAAAACACGTGCAAGTCCAAGACCTTGGAGAAACGCGGCTGTGATATCTCCACAGTGCAGCATCAAGGAGTGGCATGATGCAAAGGTCAAAGAACTGAAAGCATCAGGTGACTTGCTGTAGGTGAATCGGTGCGCACACCACCATCTTGCGCACTTTTCTCCAAATCACCTCGAACAACCAAACGTGATTTCAATTGGTTCACCTTGACGGGCTTTGTTGATGTCAACCCATCGTGTTGGAACCACCTGAGTGCCAGGGTTCTTCTCCAAAAACTGCTGAGCTTGTTCAGGAGGAATAACTTCACAGGCATCAAAACCAATCCAGTTGTTCCATTCTTTGGTGCGGGCAGCATCAATGCGTCCCTTCAAACTCTCATCAGCTCGGCCATAGCTAAGCTCTTTCGCCATCTTCTTCTGAACATTCTTCTTGGGACCACGCTTGGCCACAAAACCATGAAAAGTTGAGCTTTGCTGTTGCTGCTTCTCAGTCTGAGATGCAAACATGGCACGAGGAGGTGGAGATCTGGAGCGGTGTCTATTGGGGACACCATCAAGCTTGTTGACAGATCTCCTCATATAGCCTCTTGGAGCTGTGAAACTTGAGGTTCTCGTGGAGTGTTTGGACCAGGAGTTGGAGGAACTGTCGGTGGCACTTCTTCCTGGTCAGGTTCAATCTCGGATACGGTCGGAAGGCGACCTCTGACTTCAGAAGGTTGAGGTTGATCCGATGTCAGCACAGCATCTTGCATCAACTCATCAAAATCATCAAAAGGAACTGCAGGCAATTGTGAGTTGATTCCGGGAGGAGTCTGAGGCGCAGCTGCAAGTCCAGGCAGCTCAGTCACAAGTCCAGGGGACTGTTCAGATGGTGAGGCCACAAGTCCAGGTGGCAGGCTGGAATCACCATCCAAAGGAAGTCCATCAATCGCCTCAGGTGTCATGCGTGAATCCTCCTCAGCAACTGGGGTACCAGGCGAGTACTCAAGTCCATCATCAG